AACCAGATGAGTACAGGCAGTAACCTGTACAAGAACAAGTCATTCATTTCAAATGTCAGTGCAATGTTGATTTAATCCTGATGCCGTTACACAGCAAAATATGGTAACCCTTAGTACTTCATTTGTAGAAATCTAACATCTTAGAAATCTGATTCCTTACAACCTTTCTAGGCACAGGTTACACATGTGCAAGGCATAAAGTTGATCCATAGCTAACTTGAAACCTACAAAACCTGCCTCAAACATAAAAAAAAGTCTGAAACGAGTCCATTGAACAGAGTCGTAGAGTTTTCAGACGCTGGAAATCTGGATGATGCTACGCTTTGGCCAGTCTGGGTTCCAGAGGCTGAGCTAAGCAAAGGGTCAATGTGAATCACACTACTGTTTTCCTTGCAAAAAAGACAATAAATATCAGTTTGATATGACACACTGTGATTCAATACCTGTGAAATGTTTCAGAGATTGAGAGAAAATGGTGCTGATATGTTAGCCGTCTTGTAACCATAGTTATGAGCTAACGAAAGCTAACTGAGAGCCTTAATTCTGCTACATGTAGCTGAAAGCTATCTTTTAGCACCATTATTAATGCTCAAATGCTATCGTCGGATATATTTTGATAAGTCTTGTCTCCCTTTTTTAAATTGCTTTGCAGTGTAGTAAGTTGTTGCTAATGCTGTAATAGCTAAAGCCTTTAACTAGCCTACATTTAGCAGAAAGCTATCTATTCAACCCAGTCTCACGGCATTTCGTGTTATAGTCACGACATTTAATCTATTGATTCGTGTTCACCAACACGAGTTTCCCCTTTTTTTTTCGTGTCACACAGGACGATTTTAAAAGCAATGTATTTCTATTGGTAGTATGTTTCGTGCCTGCACCACGTATTTTTGTCCGGTCGGGTCTTGGAAGACCGGAAGCTGTGTGGTTCATAAAAACATTTTCTTACTCAATATTAAGCCACGATTATTGTTTTTATTTTAAATCGTATAATGATGGACTTTCTTTGCCATCCGTGAGGAAAAGAAATGGGGCTCAGAATACTGAAATATGTCTTTTTTTAATCTTTTTTTTCTTCTAATTTATTATTCTTTTCTAAATAACACAATGTTATTTACTCAACAATAACACACAATTATCCTTGTTTTTATTTATTTGTTTAATTGCCGTCCGTCAGGAACTGAATTTCAAAATAAAGTCACCGGAAACAGACGTAGGCGATACACACCCACTGAACTGATTACCCAATATCCTCAGCTATGGTTGAAGCTCGGTGATTGGATGTTTTAGCCGTAATGCACGTTGGGATATGGTGTTAATGCGATATTAAAATAACTATCAACAGAATTGTGTTGCCAGGCAACAGCTTGGGGTGAAAACAGTATTTCCGGTCTCGAAGTTTGCATAGTAATCTGCAGTATACTCATCAACTAAAAACATCAGATTATCCTTGTTAATTACACAACATTGATTGGTTTAAATTGTGTGCAATGCTTTTGTGTTTTCCTCCTTCGATTCGGAGAAACAAATAGTTTTTTTGGAGTTTAGGATGGCCGAAGACACTACACTACCCATAATCCTCAGCTATCGTTTGGGACTACAGTCCCTTTGCTTGACAAACCCTGTGATAAGTCTTCAAGCTCTGTGATTGGATGTTGGAGTGGCAGTGTGCCAAGGTTACGCCGAGCGTCAAACAGCTCTATGAAATTCAATGAAACCACGGCAGACTATTCAAAACTGGGGTGTTTCTCAATGTCGAGGAGGTAGCACATGTACCTCCGAGTGAGTTCCTTAAGAAGCGAGGCAAGAATACCTCCTAGCCTCGGAAAACAAAGAATGGAACAGGCTAGCAAGTGTGCAGGTGTGCGTCATATGAGAGGCCCCGCCTTACATTTTCCGCCAAAGATTTTGGAAATTGGTCCGTCCGCAAAGCATTGTGGGGATTTTAAGACCGCGGAGTCTACACATGTGCAGCCTCGAAATTGCCCGCAACAAAGTATGCCGGCCTCTGTAGAATTCCAAGTATCCTGGACATTGGAACAGTCCTTCGGCGGGACTCGATGACATAGTATCCTTGAAATAGTGGCTCTGGAGCAGCTTTCCTCGACATTGAGAAAAAAAAAATCTGACATTGAGAAACACCCCTGGACTCGAATGGGTCCAGCCCCCAGATATTTGATAGTTGGTGCTTGAAAAGACTAAACATTTATCTGCAGATCCCTATAAAGCATATTCATTACTCGTTATTCTCTACTAATAGTTAATTAAAGACTGTATATAATGGCTATTTTGCACATCCCTTTCAAGATTTCAAGATTTTCTAAGGTTTATTGACATATCATATACACAACTACGGTGTAGTTATGCAATGATGAAAAACTTGGGTCGCAGGTTCCTCAACAGTGCATTATAAGACATCTATCAATATGTGTGTATACCTCCACCATTAAACATATTCTGCACATTTCTTATACTATCTACATACATCTTATAAGAGTATAATTAATATGTATAATATCAGTTAAAATAAGTGCTTCAACATAGTTAACATTGCAGGAAAGCAATATATTATATATATATTAGACGTTAAGTACTTTGTCAGGCTTAATATTTATCTGTAGATACCCCCAAAGCTTTTTTCTTATTTAAAAGAAGACCTTAACCTAAAGTATTCTTTAATGTTTAAATAAAGGTTAATTGGTTTGTCTGTTTTGTACATCCTCCTATTAATATCTTTGTACATCCGGCACTAAACTGTTTTATTGTAGAGATCACTTACAGTATCTTCTTGATATTTTATATTCTATATTTCTATCATTGACCTTCTACTTTCCCCCTATTTTGTATGTACTATGTGTGTAAATCAATAACGTGCTTTAACCACTAGGCCAGGGGTGGGGAACCTCCGGCCTCCGGGCCGTATACGGACCGTGAGACCATTTGGTACGGCCCTCGAAGTAATTTATAAACACACGCAAAAAAGAAAAAAATTAAAGAAATCTAGACCGCAAAATAATTAAACATGCGAGTGCCTGTTTTTCCTGGTCAGGGTCCTTGAACACAACACGAGCCTAACGTGTCACGATGACTATCCATTTTAAATGCTTTAACGCTATTTAACGCTATTGTCGGACTCCCTTTTTGATAGGTCTGTCTTCTTTTTTTAGGATATTTTGCAGTGTAGGCAGATGTTGCTAACAATGGAATAGCAACATCCGTCCGTCACATTTAGCAGCAAACTAACTGTTAGCACCATTTTTATGCTTTAACACTATTGTCAGATTCTGTTTTTGATAAGTCTGTCTTCCTTTTCTTAGTTTGCTATGCACAGTAGGCAGTTGTTGCCAATGCTGGAATAGAAACTCCTTCAGCAGAATATTCCTTCTATGTAGCAGGCTTTCACTATCTAAAATGAGTGTTTTTAAATGTCATTTTATACCATTGCTTTTAAATGAGTGTTTTTAAATGTCATTTCATAATATGTTTCTTAATGCTCTTAATGTCTTTCATTTTTGTAAAGCACTTTGAATTGCCTTGTGTTGAAATGTGCTATATAAATAAACTTGCCTTGCCTTGCCTTGCCTAAAGGAACGTGCCTGTGCATCTGCATTTATAGGATAGCCAAGTATTGGCCGAAGATATGTGCCAGACGACTGTTCAATGCATATGCACGGTGGTGCATAAATAGCTTCATGAAGAGAGGACATGTATACAGAATACATGACAAGTCTGCTACTTAAAGCCTCTTCAGCTAATGTAGTGAAAAGTGCCTTTGATACTCAGCAGTCCTCATCAAAATTCAAGTGGTCCTTGTGCAGCTGGTCATCTGCTGCAATGTCGTCAGTTAAAATGTGCTTGTCGATATTTCCCTAAAACAGCCACATATCAATGAGTCTTCATGTTCATGTTTAAACCACCATACAACGACAAGAGTAGGACTGAATGTTGAACAGCTGATTTTCCGTGGGATGTGGGAGATTTCCATTCATTATCTCCTTTCCCTCCCGCTGCTCCTTTATAATGCTGTGAAGTCTTGCTCACATGTTTTCCCTTTACGCTGCCATGACATACTTGCTGGGATCCCTAGAGAGATTTAGATGGGGGGGTTAGTGATATGATATGTATGAGATTTTCAACCTTATCAGCCTCATCTGACTCACATAAGCCCCTGGGAGAATTTAACATATTGTCCCGACCATTCAGTTACCATTTTAAGTGGAGATTCGCTGAGCAGGTTTATGCGTAAGATAGATAAAGCAGGTCTGCAGATTTGTTTTAGTCGTTTTTTTTAAATATCAGGGCAGAACAGCATTGCTCTATCCCTGCTCTCACTTCCATGCTCTTACTCTTCTATCAGCATTGCTGGTACTACCTCCACCTATATAACTCTAGGAAGACATTTCAACACAAAAATAATTATTGGATTACACTGAGCAAGCAAAAAACAGATTTTTTCTAAAAGCTCAAGCAAGGGCGTCACTATGTGTTGAAAAGTGGTGGGGACATAGGGGTCAGAAGATGTTCTAATGGTCTTCACCAGATACACATTTAGGCAATGCAATGGGAGATCAGTTTGAGGTCAAAGTAGATAATGACCAAGACCGGGAAAAGATGAAACTGTGTCAAGAAATGTTTACATTTACAGTTTATACGTTATTTTTGGTCAATTTATAATAATTAATCTATGGGTTATGTTTTTTTTTGTTGACAATGCACATGCATTTATTCTATATTTATATATTACCATATATGTTTTCTTATTGTGTAAAAAAAAGGTTTTGGAAGGTTTTCGTATGTTATTCAGATTTCTTTTGCAAATTATACTTTTTATTCTAAAACGTGGTGGGGATGAATTCGCCCATTTCAAAAGGTGGTGGGGACATGTTCGCAACATTCCCAGAATAAATGACGCCTATTAGTTAAAGAACATCTGATGTTGCATTTTGTGTTCATGAAATGTTTTGGAATATTGCTTCACAAAACCTTCTTTCTGTCGTCCACAGCGCCTCCAAACAACATATCAGTGGTGGCAGAGAACACTCCAGCCCCATTCAGTCGATACCAGGCCCAGAATTTCACCCTCGTCTGCACTGCGAAAGGAGGGAAACCAGCCCCTTCCGTAAGTTACTGTTGAAGATAGAACATGCTGCTCGTCCATTGGGACCTGTCTTTACAGCACACAGATCCCTGCTGTTTACAGAGGAAAAGAAACTGCGTTGCATGTTGCTGACGGGAGTCTTTTTTCTTTCTTTATCAGCAGACCACTAGGAGTTACAATTTTGCTCTTCAAACAGGATTTCACAATTTGAATTGCAACAGCACAATCCTTAATCCTGGTGCCTTCCACAGACACGTTGTTTGCTAAAATATGCTGGTGGATACAAGCTCTATACAGACACAGCCACACATAAAATATATTGTACCTCGCAGCCATTTAAAATAGCTGTCACCAGCACCAATGTTACAGTCATTACAGTTGACCTATGATTGATTACCAGCGCTAATTTAGTCATGGGATGTAGTCATTAAAAAAGGTAGATCAGATTTAGGAAACAGACACATTTGTGTTATTGATGGTTACACTCAGGCCAATTAATCTAATCACTGTGACATGACAGTAATGACTCCACACAGAAGTATCGCTGAACACCCTAATACATGTGCATGCAGGGACACACCAATGTGCACATGTAAGCAAATGCAGGACGTACACACTTTTTTATCAACTTTTTGAAGAGCAAGACAAGGTCTTTGAAATATCTGAAGCATATGCGTCCGTGTTTGGTGGCACAGGAGCTTACCAACGCTGTTTGAGAGCGCTCACTCGCTGTTTGTTCCCACTGCGTCATTAATCATCGTCCATGGGTGTATGGTAATGGAGTCCTGAGCACTCCTATGTCCTGCAATTATGAGCCCGGTGAGAGGTGACTACAAGGTGAATATGATTTCCGTCTCTCTGGTACTTCCTGGTTGATGGTGTGATGAGTGAGGTTCTCCCCGTTGTGATTTTACAGGGAGCCTTAGATGCTGTTTACACAACGGGTTGTATCCGCTACTTTTCTCTTTCGTATAGCCCGTTCGTTCACACGAGGCCATAACGGAACCGCGGAAACGGACCCCTAAAATGATAACGGGTCCCAAGGTGGATATATCTGCGGACAGAACGCTCTGGGGGGGCCAAACGGCTCCGTGTGTACGTCCTATACGCTAATTTTCCTGATAACGATGAAGCCATAGCCCCGCCTCTCCCCACCTCTGCTGCTCACTGCTGTAGCATGGTCAGTAGCTACTGCTACTGCTACTGACCATGCTACAGATGTTAGTGCAAAATCTACAGCTCCTCTACCACAACCATCAGCAACAAGTGGACATGGAGAACTACATGAACTACATGTTGCTAAATCCACCGCGGAGAATAAACAGAAGGGCAACCATGGCAACCATGCTAGGGGGTCTTCTTCGCTGCTTTTGGTGTATTTTGTGGCGGAAGTACAGCGCCACTTACAGGCCCGGCATATGTACTACAGCGTCTCCAGCGGGTCGAGCGGTCTCGTGTGAAGGGACACGTTTATTGAGCCGTATCCGTGTGAACGGAAGACTTTTTTTATATCGAATTTGGTTCGTTTGCGGTTCGTTTGCATTTGCGTTCCCGTGTAAATGGGGCCTTAAGCGATTAAAGTTCAGCACCGCTAAATCTTTTTCCGATTAATGGAGGAAAAGAGATCCGTAGGGTTTCAGCTGGTCAGTATCCCCAGACTGTTTCTGTGTCAGTGGCTAAGTCACTTTGCTGATAATTAGCTTTGTCCCTGACTCAGCAGGCAAACGATCAAAGTCACTTACATGAGATAATTACGAGAATGTAAAGGCTGTTTGGTCGCTCCTTTCAACATTGTATTGTAGATTGCAAAAAAGATCTTTGGTATAAGACATATTGAAAGGTTTTGATATAGCCACATCTTGCGAAGACATAAAAAAATGTTAAGTAGCTATACAATCTGAAAGAGCAATCGGTTTCACGCAGAAAAACAATATTCCTTAGTGTTATATATGGTGCATAAAAACCTTAAACATTTATTTTAGTTTAAAAGGAAATTATATCAACAATTGCACAAATGAAACATCTTGGGAAGCTTTAAAAACACAGGAAGAATGAGTTTGATCGGGTTTCATACGAAGCAGATTGTATGCCGGAAGAAGAATAACAAATAAAGGCAGACGTATCAATGTACTGGTGCAGGCTGTGAAAGAGGCATTGAAAGTACTACAAATGTAAATGAGTACAAAAACATAAGAAATGCTGTCTCTTAAGATAAGGCAATTCAACCAAGAATACAAAAAGAAAGTTATCAAACGCTTGTTCAAGGCTGTTAAGCATGAATGATCGTGAACACACACAGCTTGAGTCAGTAAAAGTTGCAGTAATGGACAAAAAAGCATGGAATTAATTAAAAATAATGAGCTATGCGGGCTGTCATTGTATCAGACACATAGAAACTCATATTGTGACCACAGCAAATGTTCGCCATTGAGAACCAGCAGCCTACCAGCCAGAAAAAAACATTTTAAAACAAAATGACTTTTACGGGAGCACCTTGACAGTAATTTTAGTGAAAACATTGACTCCAATATCATCCTTATCATAGCAAGACATCCTCCTACATCTTCAAATGGGCTCAATTTGTATCCAAAGTGGCTTTTTTAACCCATTAAAATACTTTCTTTATGTATTGGAGAAACACAAACAACACTTTTAAAGTCCTGCACACCCACACAGTTAATTTCTTCCAAGTTTAAATTTTAAAGTCACCAAACTTCATCCATATGTTCTAAATCATTAAGAGAAAGTTCACATTCTGGTGGATGAAAATAACTAATGCGCGTAGGTGCGTAGTAATCAGCAGCGAACCGTTTCGTGTATTTCGGTTTATTCACGGCATTCATTTTGTTATTCTACAGTATTGTTGTTTTATAGTTATTTGTTAAAGGGCCCATGTCATGGCCATTTCCACTGATCATAATTACATTGTTGAGGTATACTAAAATAGATTTATACTGTGCAATTTTCCAAACTCACATTGGTTTCGCATACAGCATCTCTGTCAAGCATGTGTATTCAGCAGTATTCACTTTCTCCACTAAACGACTCGTTGGAGCTCTTGCCCCCCCCTCCCTGTGAGCCTAGTGTGCTCCGATTGGTCAGCTCGGCCACTCGTTCTGATTAGTCAACCACCAGAGAGGCTGCGCCCATGTCTAACAGTGCTTTTCCCGGCTGTTCTCAGCGTAACATCAGTCTTATCATGGCGTCAGCACAGCCGTATATTTTATATACATATATATTTTTAACTGTTGTTATAGAACAGTGTGACGGCCCCAGGGCCTTTGTCTTACGATGGGGTGGAGCTGAAGAGGCTAATCAGCACGATCACGGACACCTCCGGACACTACGGCCCCAGTCTCTCTCCAAAGCGGCTGCAGGAAGACTAACTCTGCGATCCTCTCAACCACCTATCTGCATTTACCACAATAAATGTGCCGTGGTTTTGTAAACTCGTGTATGTCTCCTTGTCTTTGTGGCCTACGAGCCGCTCATAACAAAGAGTAAGTTATTTTTACCCGTTATAAACTACTACTGTTTGATGAGAAATCAAATCATGGTTTGCTATATATGAATTCAGGGAAGAAAGGATAGGCCTACTAAGTATTTCCATTAAACTTTATTTTTAGAAATGTACAAAATGAACATAAATATACATATATACACGGTATATCATCCATTCCTCCTCCTTGCATCTTGCCTGCGCACAGTCGGTGCGGTGCCTTTTAGCACGACGCCTCAGTAGTAGTAGAAGTGCCTTTTAGCACGTCATGGATTGTCCGCCAGGATCTGGCTGGACGAAATCAAATGCAAATCACAAAATATTAGAGAAACTTAGTTGTTTTACATTCGTTAGTAGTAGTTGTGTAATGAACAGCTTGCCTGCTAATATGCTAACCTAGCTTTGTTTACCTTGGTAGCTAACACGATATGAACGTTAGCTTGGAGGAAAGGCAACTATAATGCAGTGTAATAAAACTACTATGAACAAAAGCTAGTGGTTCATATTAGGCTAGCAATAACGTGTTTATAATTGCAATCGTATACGGGTATTCTGCTACCATACAATGTAACTTGCATGAATACATTGTTTTGCGCTAGCATACAGCTAGCCTCGTTAGCTACATGCAGTATATGTACGGTCACAATGTACGGTAAATCACAGTACAGTATACTGTATGAGTATTCCGTGTGTGTGAATGCAGACATTCTCCTGCTATGAGATACATGTATGCAAGGCCATCTGCTGATATTAGAGTTGATATATGGAAACTCTAGCAACTTAGTTAGCACAGTTAGCACTGTGTCAATGGCTTAGCAGTCCAACACAGTTTACACATTTAAACAGTCTTGTTTGATAAATACACAAATAACAATGCAAACTTACAGGTTGTATACCCAGATCTTCCCCTGCTCCAAACGGTCCAAACAAGCTGTGCATATCCGGCCTCAAACTGGGCAATGTTTTGGAAGCTTTCGTCTGTGAAATGCCGGTTCTTCGAACCTCTGGAGGAGGAACACGCCGCTGCTGGTGTGGCCATAGCTCTTCGGGATTGGTCCATTTCGTTCCGGGTACCGCATGACATCAGGCGGTACCCGGAACTAAATGGAAGACTCAAATGGGCAGTGACGTATCTCCAACGAGGCGTTTTGGGGAGGTATTTTCTGTGTTAGAGTTTTACTCGCTACAGGGTGTACTTTGAGGGTTTTGACTCTGCACACCGTTTACATGCATAAAAACCTTCATAACACACAAGGGGACGGGTAATAACCGGAAAAGCATGACATGGGAGCTTTAATGTCTATAACCCAATTTGTGTTCTTTGAAATTGAAAATGATATTGCATTGTGTCAGGGCCGGAACATTTATTTCTTTGCAATTTTTATTCTACCTAATTTTCTGCCCTTGATGTAATAGATGTACATTAATAATTGAATAAAGTAAACACCCTTTGCACCCCGGGCCGGCAACATTTTGCATTTGCCCTGTACGATGGGCGCTGTAAGTGATGAAAGTGGGGGAT